TTTGTGAGTGCGGAGAGAGAGGGGGGGGGCTATAGCTCTTGGGCCTGCCTATGTGTATTTATAGGTATTATGTATGAGTTCATGTATGCATAAATGGATGTACAAATGTATGTATACATATATGTATGCATACACGTAACGGACTGTGTCAGGTATGCATACATATATTGCTGGTAATGACCTGTTGTTAATCGCCGCTCCAACAGGTGTCTGCCTACAGGTGTTTCCCTACAGACAAAGACAATGGAATTATATACTGCGCCTTGCTGAGTGCACTCCTGGCATTGAACGCACATAGTAAATTGAATCTAGAGAATAGCAAGTGATATTGAATTGAATGTTTTAGCTGCTAAATAAAATACTTTTGAAATTAAACTCATCTGAATACCTTTACATGATGACATTTCAAAGCACGACACTGTTGATATGCTTGCAAAGACAGCCTGCAGTAGAGCAGTAGTAGAAATTAATATGGGTGTTTCATTAGCAGTGACAAAGAGAAACGAATATCTTACTATTACTTAATATTACTTAAACGAATATCTGATAAAAATCTTACTATCCTAACAAATTCACAAAGACATGAATGACATGTATTATGATGACTACAGTCAGAAAATATTTATATATGGAACTAATAGAGCAAGAACACGGCAATTTCATGTTATAGTGGCCAGAATACACCTGGGATACAGTTGTATTTGGGCACCTATCTAAAGACTCAAATGTCAAATACAACATGTGAAAACTTTGTGAGTCTTGGAATACAACATGTGTCAACTTTGTGAGTCTTGGAATACAACATGTGTCAACTTTGTGAGTCTTGGAATACAACATGTGTCAACTTTGTGAGTCTTGGAATACAACATGTGTCAACTTTGTGAGTCTTGGAATACACCTTGTGTCAACTTTGTGAAAGAGAAAACATGCACTCCCTTGAACATTATATTGTAGAACATCCCATATTGATTGACTTCCCCACCCCCTCTGAGTTGAGATATGCTGAACTCTGAACTCTGTAAATATTATCTAAATACTGAAATACTTGATGATATATTGGACTTGTACCCAAGATTGACCAAGTAATGCATCAACAATCGACTTGAGAATGGTCCAGGACGGACCGAAACGTCGTCGTCCCTTCACCTTCTAGTGTGTGGTCTGGCCAACATACTTCAGCCACGTTATTGTGACTCATCGCCTGTAATGCATCAGTTATACAATGTGATGAAACTATAACCTGAGCTTGTAAAAGCATCTTAATCAGCTTCAATGCGTGTAAAAGTTTCTACAGCAACTAGTTTCCCCTGTCAAAGTAGGAGAGAGAAATATTATATGTGTTTAGCTAGACAGAATTGAATTTTTGTAAACGCATATTATGTGTAAAAGAACATACTTCGAGCACATTTTATGTATGGCAGACACATACACACATATGCACACCCAACCCACACACATACACACATGTACACACCCTACCCACACACATATGCACACCCTACCCACACACATGTACACACCCTACCCACACACATATACACACATGTGCACACCCTACCCACACACATACACACATGTACACACCCTACCCACACACATACACACATGTACACACCCTACCCACACACATGTACACACCCTACCCACACACATGTACACACCCAACCCACACACACATACACACATGTGCACACCCTACCCACACACACACACATGTACACACCCAACCCACACACACATACACAAATGTACACACCCTACCCACACACATATACACACATGTACACACCCTACCCACACACATGTACACACCCTACCCACACACATACACACATGTGCACACCCTACCCACACAAACACACACATGTACACACCCTACCCACACACATACACACATGTACACACCCTACCCACACACATATACACACATGTACACACCCTACCCACACACACATACACACATGTGCACAGCCTACCCACACACACACACACACACACACACACATGTACACACCCTACCCACACACACACACACACCCTACCCACACATGTACACACCCTACCCACACACACACACATGTACACACCCTACACACACACCTACCCTACCCACACACACACACATGTACACACCCTACCCACACACACACATGTACACACTATCCTACACACATATACACACCCTACCCACACACACACACACATGTACACACCCTACCCACACACACACACATGTACACACCCTACCCACACACACACACACATGTACACACCCTACCCACACACATATACACACCCTACCCACACACACACACACATGTGCACACCCTACCAACACACACACACACATGTACACGCCCTACCCACACACATATACACACCCCACCCCACAGTCGCACTCGAAGAGGCCACTCCAGAAGAGCTGAGACCACCAGGAGGGGAAACGGATGCCACTAGATGCGAGCCGAGGCCCCTACTGGAGTAGCCAGGCCACTAGAGGGGCCCAAGATGCGACTAGAGAGGAGGCAAGACCACAAGAGGGGAGCGGAGACCACTAGAGCCGACGCCTCTCCCCTCAACACAACCCCCGCGCGCCAACCGGGCAGTGCCGGGAGGCCGGGAAAACTTGTCGTACCGCGACCACAACAACAGATCAACAGAACCACAACAACAGAGAAGCATTATAAAGACCAAATAAAGAGCCACAGGGATAAAGAACTGGCCAAAAGAGGAGAGAAAGCCATAACTAAGGAGGCAAAGAGAGCGACACAGTACTGAGAGGAAGCACAGTACCCTCTTTTCCCCTCACCGTAGTGAGAGGGAGAAGCCTCCTCCCTTTCCAAATATACCAACCCATTCCACACCATTTCCACTTTATTCCCTACCCACTATAGTGCTCACTCTCTCATCATCGCTGTCCATGACTTTGGCACTTGTGCATCACTGGATGATAGCATCTTCTTGCCCCCGTCTTTTTCCTAATGTAAGATAGTGGCTGACTGCCAGAATTGGGAGACAGAAACAGATAGGGCAAAGTTGTGATTAATCTTAGTATTTAGACTTGTTTCTTAGCTTCCTGTCAAGACTTTGATGGTTTCTTTGAGACTTTGAGGAAGACTTCTTGCTTGTGGTCAGTAATGCCACTCACTGGGTGGGGTGACAGTGTCACTCACTGGGTGAGGTGACAGTGTCACTCACTGGGTTAGGTGACACTGTCACTCACTGGGTGAGGTGACACTGTCACTCACTGGGTGAGGTGACACTGTCACTCACTGGGTTAGGTGACACTGTTACTCACTGGGTTAGGTGACACTGTTACTCACTGGGTGAGGTGACACTGTCACTCACTGGGTGAGGTGACACTGTCACTCACTGGGTGAGGTGACACTGTCACTCACTGGGTGAGGTGACACTGTCACTCACTGGGTGAGAGGACCCTGTCACTCACTGGGTGGGGTGACAGTGTCACTAAGTGGGTGGGGTGACTGTCACTCACTGGGTGAGGTGACAGTGTCACTCACTGGGTGGGGTGACAGTGTCACTAGGGTGGGGTGACAGTGTCACTCACTGGGTGAGGTGACAGTGTCACTTACCTGACACCTCACTTAGTATGTTGAGATGACAGTGTCACTTACTGGGTGAGGTACAGTGTCAATTCTGGGTGGGGTAACCTATACCTATAATAGGTTAGGTAACAATTGTACTTACGAAGGTATAAGATGCTTATTTTAACATACTAAGTAGGTAGACAAGGTCACTCACTTTTCTATGAAGCTTTTTCAAGGGAAATGTCACCTATGCACTCACTGGGTAAGTCAGTATTGACTTACCTAATGGGCCGAGAGTGACCCTGGTCCTGAGCACCCTAGCCTCCACTCTTGGCCCAGGTGTTGAATTCAACAATTCTGTTCTTCCCAAACCAATCATCATGATTTACTGCTCACTGTATCAACATCCATTATTACTTATTCAACCTTTATCGTTCTCTAATTTCTCCTTCGCTGATCTGCCTAGCTGTTGATGCACGCTAGCCGCAAGCCGGCGCCATCCGTATAAGCTCAGCTTAGCTGCTATTTTCTGGAAAATGTTAAATAACAAATGCAAAGGCTTTGCTTTCAGTCTCACCAGAGAATAGGTGACAGGCCGGATAGACCGTCCGTATCCGATCAAATACTTTTGAGTGTAACATTCGGATTAGACTAATGGATGTCATGGAATATAAAGGGAAAACTAATAGAGAAAGGTGACACATGGATCATATATACAATTTGATACGAGATTTTATTTCAGCGCTAAATGAACAAGCAAAATGCGTAGAGAGACAAGCACACGAGGGAGAACACATGAAACAGAACACAGGGAACAGAACACATGAAACAGAACACAGGGAACAGAACACAGGGAACAGAACACATGAAACAGAACACAGGAAACAGAACACAGGGAACAGAACACATGAAACAGAACACAGGGAACAGAACACATGAAACAGAACACATGAAACAGAACACATGAAACAGAACACAGGGAACAGAACACATGAAACAGAACACAGGGAACAGAACACAAGCCAAAATGTAACCCGACTATTATATTTCATGGGAATATTAACGTTATTCCAACAGGTTTCACTACTCTGTATTACCGTATATTTTGTACCCAGGAAATATATTATCTAAGATGACACGATACATAGTTATACATACCGTTCAAAAAAGCACTATACATAATGATATTGACTATTTTCATGTATAAAAAAATGGGTTTTATTTCTTATATGGATAAACACGTTCGTTAATATCAGTATGTTAATTATTGAAGACTAAATTACACTATTAAAAAATACAATTAATTGCATTATTAACAAAATATATATATAATAATTTTCTGAAGGTATGGTTACTGAATAATACATAAATATGTCTTTATTTAACATACGCATCTTGACAATTTTTTTCAAAACTTTCTTGAAAACTTTCTTGAATATTTGAAAACTTTTTTCAATACTTTCTTGAAAACTTTCTTGAATATTTGTAAACTTTCTTCAATACTTTCTTGAAAACTTCTTCAATACTTTCTTGAAAACTTTCTTGAATTCTTTCTTGAAAACATTCTTCAATACTTTCTTGAACACTTTCTTGAATTCTTTCTTGAATTCTTTCTTGAAAACATTCTTCAATACTTTCTTGAAAACTTTCTTGAATTCTTTCTTGAAAACATTCTTCAATACTTTCTTGAAAACTTTCTTCAATACTTTCTTGAAAACTTTCTTCAATACTTTCTTGAAAACTTTCTTCAATACTTTCTTGAAAACTTCCTTCAATACTTTCTTGAACTTTCTTGAATATTTGTAAACTTTCTTGAATACTTTCTTGAAAACTTTCTTGAAAACTTCCTTGAATTTTTTCTTTAAAACTTTCTTGAATTCTTTTTTGAATACTTTCTTGAATACTTTCTTGAAAACTTTTTTTAATTCTTTCTTGAAAACATTCTTCAATACTTTCTTGAAAACTTTCTTGAATTCTTTCTTGAAAACATTCTTCAATACTTTCTTGAAAACTTTCTTCAATACTTTCTTGAAAACTTTCTTCAATACTTTCTTGAAAACTTTCTTCAATACTTTCTTGAAAACTTATTTCAATACTTTCTTGAACTTTCTTGAATATTTGTAAACTTTCTTGAATACTTTCTTGAATACTTTCTTGAATTCTTTCTTGAAAACTTTCTTGAATTCTTTCTTGAATACTTTCTTGAATACTTTCTTGAAAACATTCTTCAATACTTTCTTGAAAACTTTCTTCAATACTTTCTTGAAAACTTTCTTCAATACTTTCTTGAAAACTTTCTTCAATACTTTCTTGAAAACTTTCTTCAATACTTTCTTCAATACTTTCTTGAAAACTTCCTTCAATACTTTCTTGAATATTTGTAAACTTTCTTGAATACTTTCTTGAAAACTTTATTGAATTCTTTCTTGAAAGCTTTCTTGAATTCTTTCTTGAATACTTTCTTGAAAACTTTCTTGAATACTTTCTTGAAAACTTTCTTCAATACTTTCTTCAAAACTTTCTTGAATTTTTTCTTGAAAACTTTCTTGAAAACTTTCTTGAAAACCATGAATCTCAAGTACGAAAATACCAACAATTACTTTCTAACATTCTTTCCCAAATTAAAAAAAGAAGAAGGTAGAAGTCGAAGGAAAACAAAGAACAGAAGAAGCTAAGAATATATGATGAATATTGACCCATCAACAAGTGACGGTCATTCATGTTGATGTTGTCTTCAAAGGAACTTAATTCCGTCAAATTTTCTCTTCAAAGGAACTTAATTCCGTCAAATTTTCTCTTCGAAGGAACTTAATTCCGTCAAATTTTCTCTTCGAAGGAACTTAATTCCGTCAAATTTTCTCTTCGAAGGAACTTAATTCCGTCAAATTTTCTCTTCGAAGGAACTTAATTCCGTCAAATTTTCTCTTCGAAGGAACTTAATTCCGTCAAATTTTCTCTTCAAAGGAACTTAATTCCGTCAATTTTTCTCTTCAAAGGAACTTAATTCCGTCAAATTTTCTCTTCAAATGAACTTAATTCCGTCAAATTTTCTCTTCGAAGGAACTTAATTCCGTCAAATTTTCTCTTCGAAGGAACTTAATTCCGTCAAATTTTCTCTTCAAATGAACTTAATTCCGTCAAATTTTCTCTTCGAAGGAACTTAATTCCGTCAAATTTTCTCTTCAAAGGAACTTAATTCCGTCAAATTTTCTCTTCAAAGGAACTTAATTCCGTCAAATTTTCTCTTCAAAAGAACTTAATTCCGTCAAATTTTCTCTTCAAAAGAACTTAATTCCGTCAAATTTTGTCTTCAAAGGAACTTAATTCCGTCAAATTTTCTCTTCAAAAGAACTTAATTGCGTCAAATTTTCTCTTCAAAGGAACTTAATTCCGTCAAATTTTCTCTTCAAAGGAACTTAATTCCGTCAAATTTTCTCTTCAAAGGAACTTAATTCTGTCAAATTTTCTCTTCAAAGGAACTTAATTCCGTCAAATTTTCTCTTCAAAGGAACTTAATTCCGTCAAATTTTCTCTTCAAAGGAACTTAATTCTGTCAAATTTTCTCTTCAATGGAACTTAATTCCGTCAAATTTTCTCTTCAAAGGAACTTAATTCTGTCAAATTTTCTCTTCAAAAGAACTTAATTCCGTCAAATTTTCTCTTCAAAGGAACTTAATTCCGTCAAATTCTCTTCAAAGGAACTTAATTCCGTCAAATTTTCTCTTCAAAGGAACTTAATTCCGTCAAATTTTCAGAGTAATCCAAAAAGATATTTGACCAAGTTATTATTAATTAAACAACTGTGATACCCCCAGCGTAGGTTAAGTTAGGTGTTAGCACTTATTAGTATTAGCAATTATTAGTTATTTAAATTATTTAGGAATGATTGAATACTTTACATTCAATTTTTTTCTGCAGCTGTAAAGTGTGTTTTGTGGTGAAGCATTTGAGGTGAACTTAGCAGTGGAGAACCTACCTTACCTTGAGGCTACCTTGAGGTGCTTCCGGGGCTTAGTGTCCCCGCGGCCCGGTCGTCGACCAGGCCTCCTGGTTGCTGGACTGATCAACCAGGCTGTTAGACGCGGCTGCTCGCAGCCTGACGTATGAGTCACAGCCTGGTTGATCAGGTGTCCTTTGGAGGTGCTTATCCAGTTCTCTCTTGAACACTGTGAGGGGTCGGCCAGTTATGTCCATTATGTGTAGTGGAAGCGTGTTGAACAGTCTCGGGCCTCTGATGTTGATAGTTCTCTCTTGAACACTGTGAGGGGTCGGCCAGTTATGTCCCTTATGTGTAGTGGAAGCGTGTTGAACAGTCTCGGGCCTCTGATGTTGATAGTTCTCTCTTGAACACTGTGAGGGGTCGGCCAGTTATGTCCCTTATGTGTAGTGGAAGCGTGTTGAACAGTCTCGGGCCTCTGATGTTGATAGTTCTCTCTTGAACACTGTGAGGGGTCGGCCAGTTATGTCCCGTATGTGTAGTGGAAGCGTGTTGAACAGTCTCGGGCCTCTGATGTTGATAGTTCTCTCTTGAGCACTGTGAGGGGTCGGCCAGTTATGTCCCTTATGTGTAGTGGAAGCGTGTTGAACAGTCTGGGGCCTCTGATGTTGATAGTTCTCTCTTGAACACTGTGAGGGGTCGGCCAGTTATGTCCCTTATGTGTAGTGGAAGCGTGTTGAACAGTCTCGGGCCTCTGATGTTGATAGTTCTCTCTTGAACACTGTGAGGGGTCGGCCAGTTATGTCCCTTATGTGTAGTACACATAAGAACACGATAAAGTTCATGGTTATTCAGCTGTTCTTCACGTGTAAAGAACATTTCATTGAGAATCGACATTCAATGTAATGGATTTGAACCCTTTAAGGACAGTTTGCAGGGAACAAATTCCTAAGTGAGGAGTGAATAAATCAGTGTGTGAGCAGGGAATAAACTCCATAAGCCGGGAATAAACCCCATAAGCCGGGAATAAACCCCATAAGCCGGGAATAAACCCCATAAGCCGGGAATAAACCCCATAAGCCGGGAATAAACCCCATAAGCCGGGAATAAACCCCATAAGCCGGGAATAAACCCCATAAGCCGGGAATAAACCCGAGAGTTTGACTTGTAAGCATTTTACGTCTGGGTGTTAATTAATATCACATATGTCATCATCAGCCGGTCGGCCGAGCGGACAGCACGCTGGACTTGTGATCCTGTGGTCCTGGGTTCGATCCCAGGCGCCGGCGAGAAACAATGGGCAGAGTTTCTTTCACCCTATGCCCCTCTTACCTAGCAGTAAAATAGGTACCTGGGTGTTAGTCAGCTGTCACGGGCTGCTTCCTGGGGGTGGAGGCCTGGTCGAGGACCGGGCCGCGGGGACACTAAAGCCCCGAAATCATCACAAGATAACCACAAGGAGACAATCGTCTTAAAAGTTGTTAAGTACACATTGGTTAAAAATGGGAAAAAAAATAAATAGAAGCATTTCTCTGGGGGAATGGGGGAGATCCTACCCCCTCACACCCCCATAACTAGCCCCCACACACCCCATAACCATCCCCCCCACACACCCCCATAACCATCCCCCCACACACCCCATAACCATCCCCCCCCACACACCCCATAACCATCCCCCCCACACACCCCATAACCATCCCCACCACACACCCCATAACCATCCCCCCCACACACCCCATAACCATCCCCCCCACACACCCCATAACCATCCCCCCCACACACCCCATAACCATCCCCACCACACACCCCATAACCATCCCCCCCACACACCCCCATAACCATCCCCCCCACACACCCCATAACCATCCCCCCCACACACCCCATAACCATCCCCCCCACACACCCCATAACCATCCCCCCCACACACCCCCATAACCATCCCCCCACACACCCCATAACCATCCCCCCCACACACCCCCATAACCATCCCCCCCACACACCCCATAACCATCCCCCCCACACACCCCATAACCATCCCCACCACACACCCCATAACCATCCCCCCCACACACCCCATAACCATCCCCACCACACACCCCATAACCATCCCCCCCACACCCCCATAACCACACACCCCCATAATCCCCCCCACACACCCCATAACCATCCCCCCTACACACCCCCACCCTCCACAAAAACAGCATGAACCTTTCCCCTCTCCTACACAGGTTCTACCCCATCTCCCCCATATAACTATACCCCCTTCTCCCCATAACCCCCACCACAAAACCCCCCAGCTCCCCTCTCCCCCCCGCTCAAGGCCGTCCAGGCATCTCCCACCAACTCCCAGCATCAAGGACTACCCATCCGCTCTCATACCAGCAAGAGTTACAATGTTTTCACAACAATCTCTCGAACGTCAATCGGAAATTTGTGTAAAAGACAATGGAAGGATACCGGGGTTCGAGGCATGACGACGTGCCCTCACCCTCCTCCCAGGCCGCGATTTTATCACACTCTGGAATACAAAAAATACAAAAAAGGGTACATCGATTGGAGTTGAAACGGACACAAGCTCTCCCCTTTGTCTGAGGGCAGGGGGGCGGGCTGCCCCGGGGGACTGGTGGTCAGGGGATAGGAAGGGTGGGGGGGGGCGGAGAGGGATAGGAAGGGGGGCAGAGAGGGATAGGAAGGGGGGCAGAGAGGGATAGGAAGGGGGGCAGAGAGGGATAGGAAGGGGGCAGAGAGGGATAGGAAGGGGGCATAGAGGGATAGGAAGGGGGCAGAGAGGGATAGGAAGGGGGCGGAAAGGACGAAGAAGGGGGCAAGGAAGAGGAAAGAGAGGGGCCCAATGGGCTCTGGCTTTGGGAGAGGGGCAAGGGTTTGAGGGAAAGAGAAAAGGGAATAGGGGAGGAGATGGAAAGAATTAGGAAAGGGGAAGTAAAGGAGACAGACGAAGATAGGGGGAGGAGAGAGGAGATAGAAAGGGTCGAGATATGAAAGAAAAATAAATGAACAGTGATAAGAAAGACAAAAACTAACGTAAGAAAGGAGAATGTCTCCAAGAAACAGGATCAATATAGATGAAAAGTAGACAGGAAACAAGATAAGAAAATAGTAAATAAGATAGAATGGTACAAAGGGAGCAGAGAAGGGGGATAAAGAATTTAAAAATAAAAAATAAAAGGATATCAACAGCCAATAAAAGGGCAAGAAAGGAGAGGGAGCTGAATGTGAAAAGAATGAGATAAGAGGAGAAATGAGATAAGAAAGGGGCTGAGAAAGGGAACTAGCGAGTGAGAGGGAAGTGGAAGGGGCCCAAGTGTTCATTTCGTCACAGCTTACGATAGTGAAAAGCGATTTAGGGTTACTTAAATGATTCTTGGTTCTTGTTGAACTGGAGAGGGAAGTACTGGAGGTACTACCATAGTC